CCTCGTGACTGGAACCTTCGTTTTTTCAACCTTTACACGTTTGCGCTGCCTAATGTTCCTCCATTGTTGCACGACGAAGTCTAAATGCTCACGGTACTCGTCGTCATCAGAGATATCGGCTAGCTCACTGCATATAGCCTGGAACGCGCTGACTGCCTCCTTGTACTTAACATTAGCGTCAAGCACCTTGTGTTTCGCCTCCCCTGGTTTAAACTCATTAAGCACAAAAGGCCGCGGAGTCATCGGTTGTTCAGCAGGATGTAACCATCTAAATGAATGACATGTCAGACCCTTAGTACAACATCAATATTGGATATTACATGGACAACTCACGGCTTATACGTGGATAAATTGTGAGTTAACCCACCTTTCATCGATGCAACTCAGCGGTATTACGCTTCCTGGGGCGCTACTCCACTTCCGAAGTGTTGACAAGGCAGACGCATTGCAGAAGCAAACGAGCAAGTGCAGCTCCACGTTTTCAAATCCACAGCATGCGTCTTGTGTTTACCCGTCACCTCCACGAAGCCTGGATTTGACTTTAAGTCGAAAGTGAACTTGTCGACCTTCGAACATGCCATTACGTACTCCTTCTCCACGTGTGTTGCTACGAAATGCGTCGTAAAGCGCAAAACTTGGCACATCTCCTCGTCGTAGTTGCGGTTGACACGTAACCCGATCCTAGTCTTGTCGAACACGTATTCACTGGAAGTCCTGGCATCAGCACCCACAAGGGCCTTCACGGTGTCCGTCATGGTCATGTTGGAGTTTACCCCGTCCTTAAAATGCCCAAACCAATTCTCTAAATGGTTGTTCGTGTGGACGCGCAAATGTGCCAACCGTGAGCGTTGGTACATGACCCACATCTCCGTACAAGTGTTCCAGTTTTCATCCATGTAGTTGTAAAATGCCATATATCCAGTCCTAGTGCAAAGTGCCTTCATGGAGGTCCAATTGGTCTCGTAGATCTCTGAACTTAAGGCATATACCATGTTGTGGACTAATGCGTCGATGGCGTCGTGATCGTCCGACGAAAGTTTACCATATTCTGGCTTCCTGGACGCTGTGCGGAGATATTTGATGACGTGAAAGACGCAAATCAACACGCGCGACTTAGGGAAGTACCGACGCAACACGCGGATCTCATTCAGATCTTTGTCGACCATTATAACTTGAACCTTGTCGCCAATCTTATCGTCAATCCGAAATAGATGATCCAGCGCTCGGGACATCTGCCAATCGGCGTTTCGCTCGAGCAAAGACTGTTGTACAGGCTGCCCACGCCCATTGTCGTCTATCATCATGAAAGTACAAAGCTGGTAGTTGTATCTAATGCACATTTACATGGACAAGAATCGCACAATACATGGGCATGACATTAAAATAAGCATGGACAATACATGGACAAATAATTGCACATACATGGGAGACTTACCCGATTCATTTGTGGGTACAGTCCACAAGCAAAGCTCTGGAAACCTAGTAACCATGTCGCGCATATGTCTGGAAGTCCTACTGATCACACCAGAGTGTCCCGCATCAGTTTCGTCCACCGTGACTACGTTACCGTCAATAGCTACGAATTCCGCGAGAGTTGCGGCGCAAGCTTCGTCGTCATTCAACCCTCCTCTTATCTCTGCTTTAACACGTTGCACAATGTTGTCCACATCCTTCTTGACGAGGTTCTCGCCTCTCCCCAGAAGATACTCATAGATGCGTGCGCGCTTTCTACCGTACATCACCGTGCTGTCCACAACATCCCTCGTGGTCCGGGCGGTCAAACCTAGGGTTTCTCCGGGTACGTCTTGAACTGCGCTGTCCCCACCGCATGGTTGTGCTGGTACACACCGTTCTTCACGCGAAGGCAGCATAAGCCGTCAACTTGCACGAGCTGCACCACAAATCGAAATGGACAACCGCATCCTCGGACGAAGTGCTTGGTTCGCAATCCGCTGCTCCTGTCTTTTGCTGGCCAGCCATGTGTGCAGATGTATGTGCGTTGGTAAGCACCCCACGTCTCTGGTACGTACGGAACATCCATTCCCTGCTTTGCTGCCGCTGTTTGACCCAGCCGCTTGTTTCTCAATACGCAACTAAGCGTTGACTGGATGCGGATGACCTGGCGGGACTTTACCGAGTAAGCCTTCAAATACTCATTCCACGCCGACCAGCTCGGATACGTCACGTCTGCGGGGCCCTCCACAAGGGAGGGAGAGTCTACGACCTGGACAATACATGGACGCTTGAAATCGTCCGTGTCAGGCGAGGCGTCGTCCGAGTTTGCAGCCGCGCCGGAGGCTGCGGAAGCCGTGGTGTCGATATCTGAAGAGGAGTCGGACGATCCACCCTGTATTTACAAATAGATAACGCACGGTTAGAAACACGTTCACAGAGACCACAAACAGCAAGATAACGCACCTCAGACGTCGCGGAAGCGGGTAGACTGAGCGACATGGCCGGCGATTGCAGCAGCGGTTGATCTCGTGACGTAGGCTGTGGCGTGCAGGTAACGGAGCGGCGGCGGCGGCAATGCTCGAAGGGGGGCGAGTTTGGGTTTGAAAAGCAAATGAAAGGCTGGTGTGATTAGTAAAACTACCGGTATACAGTATTGTACCGGTATTAACTAGATAGATCACATCGTGGACAATACACGGATGAGAGATTGCACTCAACGACTGGGTTGTTTTTATAAATTACCGAATGAAAATATTTTACATCATGGACATTACATGGAGTATTACATGGAAAATAAGCGGATTTGACGCATGGACTGTAGCATTTCCGTTTTTAAAATGGCTACGAATGGATTTTCAAATCTGGCGGGAAGATGGATACACACTAAATCCCTGCTTTTCCACCTTAAAACAATTAGAAACCTTACAAAATAAGTTTCGTTTTTCGCAATCAGCACCTTTACTGTACAGTCGTGCACCTCTAATTCGGCAGGGCGGACCATATCAACAGTGCCAGGGCATAAGTGCACAACATAAAGCAAAAAACAAACGCAAATCCAGTGCACTGATGTTTTATTCGTTAATTAAATACCAAATATACGCCAATCTTCTGCATAATCTTGACGTCAGACGCGCGAATCGCGGGCGCGCAAGAGCGCTTCCGGTCGCTATAGGCGTCCGGCAAGGCGGCAACTTCCGCGGACAGCTTAAGAATACTCTGGACGGTAGTGCGCTTTACTGCTTGGGGCCCCCAAGTTGGGGGGTCTTATAGCGCTCCGTTGCCCAACGAGCAAGCTCGGAGTGAGAGCATGCAGGATCTGACTTGTGCTTCTCGCACAAAGACTGCTTTTGTGTGACATGTAGGAGGAAGGGCGATGTCCCATTGTATTTGGCGGTAAAAAACAAAGTGTGTGTTTGCGGCGTGTCATCCCTCGCCGAGGAGGGGAAAACCGTTGAGGTTAATTGCTAGGGTGGTGATGGGCAAAGGTAATTGCGCATCCGATTCACGTAATCATAAAATCTGGCAGGGTATCGACTGATACCGGTGCCGAATTGGAGGTGCATGACTGTAATTGCCAATTTCTTTTTCTCATCGTGGTAGCAAAAAAGACTGCCAGATCAAATAAAAATGGGTCCGAGTTCATCTGATTTATTCCGCATTGCATTGGGAGCCCAGCACCACTACCCGTTGCACCTTGGTCATGCGCTGCCTCTCGTGCTTCTACAAGTGCTTCGGGCGCGACGACTCGCTGGCCACGCCCAAGGGCGATGTGCCCACCGACACAGCCACCACCGTCGTAGAAGAAACGTCTGTCGCTGCCTCACCCAGAGGCAAAGGCAAAGTGACAGACTCGTACACCTTGGGCAAAGTCATCGGCTCCGGGTCCTACTCGGTCGTGCGTGAGAGTGTTCACAAGAAAAGCAAGCACAAATTCGCCATCAAGTGCATCAAACGCTCGGAACTCTCAACCGAGGACGACGAAGCCATTCAGTTCGAGGTTTCCATCCTGCAACAGATGAAGCATCCGCACATTATGACTCTTGAGGAGTTTTTCGTCGAGCCCGACTACTACTACCTCGTTACGGAGTTCGTCGGAGGCGGCGAACTCTTCGACCGCATCGTGGAGAAAACGTTTTACACGGAAAAAGAGGCGCGCGACCTCGTCAAGATTCTCATCGACGCCATCAAGTATTGCCACGACCAAAACGTCGTGCACCGAGACCTCAAACCGGAGAACCTACTGCTTATGTCAGCAGATGACGACGCCAGTATCAAACTCGCCGACTTTGGCTTCGCGAAAACTGTGACCAAAGACAATTCTGGCCTTGTGACCACGTGTGGCACACCCGGATATGTGGCTCCAGAGATCTTGGAAGGCGCGTCGTACGGGAAACCCGTTGATATCTGGAGTATCGGCATCATAACATACATTCTGCTGTGTGGCTATCCTCCTTTCCACGACGACTCGCAGCCCGTTCTGTTCAAGAAGATCCGTAAGGGCAAATACTACTTCGACTCGCCCTATTGGGACAATGTATCCACAGATGCCAAAGAGTTTATCTCCAAGATGTTGGTGGTGAACCCCAAAGATCGAGCCTCGGCTGGAGAATTACTGGAACACAAGTGGATCACTGGAACGGATGTGGCCACTGTGCCACTGACCAGTGCGCTGACCGAGCTGAGACGCTTCCATGCACGTAAGAAGTTCAAAGCGGCGGTGCATTCCGTGCAGGCCACGATCAGCATGAACAAGGCGCTGTCCGGACTGGGCGAGTCCACCAGGAACAGCAACTCGGCAGCGTCTCTTTAGATCGTACGTATGACCTCATGACGTAAAGTTGCTGCAAGTTGCACAAAATTTATTCGCATCATTTTCTGTTGCGTTTTTGCCTCAATTCGTTTTCTTTTTGTTGCCACGGAGATGCAACGCATCCAGTAGGTTTTCCCTGAACGAACCCAGTTTGTATGGGTTGAAGTTGACGTCATCCACTGAGAAACTCTCTTCTGTGTTCATGATGGAGTCGGGAGAGAAAAGTCCGCCCCAAGTTGCATCTAACGCTTTTTTCTGCCCGCCACGTGGCACTGCTAATTTCGGTCTCTTTCGGAAGTTTAGGCGCTTGAAGAGGAAGCGGAACATCCGACGTCCTGACGTCTCACCGTCGAGTTCTGCTTCTTCGCGCAAATCTTCACGCTTGAACGATTCATTTGCTGTTTCGTTCTGACGGATGCGTTTTAGCTGCATCAAGATGAAAACCCAGAGGATGACGGCGATCAGGAGACACATGGCGGTCACGAAACCCAGTGCTTGGTTGTTCTGCAGACACATAGGAAGTTAGTACTACTGCTCTATGGCTGTTGCATCGAGAGCAAACACGTACCGCAATGAACGACTGCATGATTTTAGCAGTCTCCGTCCTGCCGACCTGCTCCATGGTCACACCACGAGCATGAAAGAGATCATCCGTCTGCGTTGCAACTCGCAAAAGTGACGTTAGTACTGAGATTATTCCTGTTCTCGATAGTAAACGTACCTGCGTGAAGAATACGCTGGTGGAGACAAAAAAGCCTTCAAGGCAAACTGCGAGCTGGACCTAGGATCACACAATGGCAGTGAGTCAAGTGTGTGTTCCTGCAACAAAATCATGGTAAACTGACCAGTAAATAAGCCAGGAAAAACTTGTAGTTTTTCTCTCCAACGCAGCCGTTGAACCAGACTTCACATTACGCAGTAGATAGGTTAATTGATGGCTCTTAAAATTATACTGTAACAAGCAGAATTAATCGACACTCACTGCAACTGCACGACACAATACCAACACGCATTTGTTTGAAAATGTTTCAAATATTCAAGTAGGTCCCAGCACGTACTGATGGTCGAATCTTCCGACGCAGTGGTTGCACAGCCGGCAATGCTTGGACCGCGGAAGCCTGTCAGAAGGAATGCCACAACACACTGAGACCTCCACCTCCACACTCTCCAAAGCTACACTCACTTCAATGTCTTGCAAGTACGACAGTATTTCCCCTCCGGGTACAGCACGGGGTGGTTCACATACTGCTCGAATTCGTGGATGTTGTCGCGTCGGATCACGCCCGGGTCACTCAAGCACATGATCAGGTACAGTACGATCGTCACCACGAACAGGAGCGTTGCCAGCCACCTGCAGCAGGACAAACCTTTTAGATAGATTGTTCACCACTACCCCTGCAACAAGCAACTCGTACTTGTGGTACCACCCGACGTATTCGTTGGGCAGCAGTGGATGAGCTTCTCGCATGTACAGGTAATAGCACGAGCTCATGGCGACAAAGTAGATAATCTAATAAGCAACAAAATTGTAAAGCTACAGTAGCTTATAGCAATGCGAAATAGGACGTTGGTTACCTGCACGAGCGGATTCCGCTCGAAGAAGACATAGTTCCGCACACGCACCAGCGCACCAAACATGCTGACGATGCTAAAAGTGAAGTGTATTGCCAGGAGCTACAAACTTCTCATTGGATGGAAATGGTCAAGTTTCTAACAAAACATGTACCACATTTCGGGTACATGCGATCCGAGGATCGAGCTCCCCCTTTCAGTCAGTGGAGAAGAATTTCTACCAAGGTAAGATCGCGCTTTAAGCCGGCACTTGGTGTGCTCATATCTCGTCCTCTGGATCACCAGCGGCCATCGTGACTAGTGCATCATACAGGTGTTCGTTTTCCCTACTGACTCACATCTTTTTCGCATTGTTTCGCACAGTGACCACTGCGCAATTGACCATGGCGGACTCTGCGTACTCATTCAGTCTGACGACCTTCAATCCGTCGGGCAAGCTGCTACAGATCGAATACGCGCTTAATGCTGTCAACACTGGTGGCAAGACGTCGCTGGGCATTCGATGTACGCTTTTTTTAAGCTGCAAAGCACCGACTAGAGCTAAAACAAGCCTAACAAATGCAATTCTGCCAATTCTGCAGGCAAAAACGGCGTCGTGATCGCCACGGAGAAGAAGTTACCGACGATTCTGGTAGATGAGGATTCGCACAAGAAGATCGCAGTGTTGTCTGAGCCCGCTGGTATTGTGTACAGCGGTCTAGGCCCTGATTACCGCGTCCTGATCCGCAAGGCTCGTAAGAAGGCGCAAACTTACTTCCAGAAGTACAAGGAGCACGCACCCGCCAGCATTTTGGTGCAAGAAATCGCGGCTGTCATGCAGGAGTTCACGCAGTCCGGTGGCGTTCGCCCCTTTGGCGTGTCCATCCTTTACGCGGGCTACGACGACGACGGCCCTCAGCTGTATCAGATTGACCCGTCGGGAGCGTATTTCGGCTGGAAGGCAACAGCTATTGGCAAGGATTCGGTCAGTGCCAAGACGTTTTTGGAACGGGTGAGTGATGGTAGATGGAAACGAAGAGTGTTGGTCGTTTGTTGCTGATTGTTTTTGGATTTCTGAACAGCGTTACAACGACGATTTGGAGATTGAAGATGCGATCCACACGGCGCTACTGACGCTGCGTGAAGGGTTCGAAGGCGAGATGGACGAGACCAACATTGAAGTGGGCATCATCAAGGAGGACAAGAAGTTCCACGTGCTGACACCCGCTGAGGTGAAGGATTACCTCGAGCAGGCGGAGTAAAACTCCGTTTTTAGCCCATTTCAGCGTCGATACTTTTGGTTTTACGCCGGCTAGAACTGGTTTTTTAGTGAATTTGCTGACAAGCAGCTACAGTAATAACACCAAGTTGCGAGGCTTGTAAGGTTTCATTCTAAGCCTGTTTGTTGCGAGTCTAGCTGCTCGATGGAGCCTGGTGAAAGGCGAAACCAGCAGTTTGGCCACCTAAGTGGCCTACGCAGTCAACGCGCAGGTTGCGCTGGTAGGCTGCGCCAAGGATATTGAGTGCAGTGTAGAGTTGAAGCATCTGCGCCGATGTCATGTCGAAGATCCCGTAAAGTAGCAGCTAGAGTTTCGGTATAAAACCACGTTACAACACCTTTAAATTCTCCTAGCCATAAGGAAATAACGTACCCGCTGATCAGGGAAGAGCAGACACGACACAGTGAAGACAGCAGAGACAGCTCCACTCGCGCCAATAGAGAACACTACACAGATTATCAATGAAATTAGAGTCATTCTACCCATTTCCCACAAAATTGATCACTTACCCGCTCCGTTTCCTCGGAGTTTCGACACTAAAGCACTCAATGCAGATGACGTCATGGCAGACGTGAAGTACAGTGCCATAAACTTCTCAATCGACAGCAACTCCGGTCGGCGACTAAAGCTGCTGTAGCTTTCCCTCACATAACCAGCGAATCTCGAATTTGACACCGCTCGATTGTACCACGCACCAGAGTTGTTGTTACTCGGAGCCAGGATATGGGGTCCGAACTCCCACAACATGAACATGTTGATGCCAAAATGTGGGAATGTGATGTGACTGAACGCCGAAGTCAACAAAGTATGGAACCGCTTGCCGTACACCACAGCGTCGTACGAACTGGCAAAGTGTCGCCACATGAACTGGTGCAATCTCGCGTTCCGGAATGACGCGCGCCACAGTCCAAATACCAAGGTATTAGCTGCAATCAAAGCTGCAACAGCTTTCTTGTTCGTGTCCTCATACCACTGCAACATTCGACAATCGTTAGTGGTAAATATCCTCGTATCCACGATTTGTTTTCTTACCGATTCGCCAAATTGTCGACCGTTGCTACTGTAAAACAGGTCGTTGGCATCGCCGTATAAATTTCTTATAGCTTCTTTGAAGTCAGTGTCTTCTTCCTGTTTGTTTACCACTGAAGTGACGATGATTCCACCCGATACAAGCCCCAAACTCCCAGTGAGTATGCGATCATGACGACTCACACGGCTAAGATCAACCGTCCTGTGCTGCTGCTGGCGCGCCGCGATGCGCAACTCGATACCACGACTTCTGAGGGTGTTCGTATGGGACGGACGTAGGAGAACATTGTGGCAGAAGGAGGAAGAGCGAGCGCCGCGCAACCCGATCATCGTCGTGCTTAACAATCTCTAAATGCCTAATCGAGATATTTTGTTTTAGATTTTTTCTAAAAGTCAATAAATTCGTCTGGTTATTGTCGACAAGGTGGACAAATTCGTAAGAAGTTGCCCGAAGCTCGTGTTCATCTATGTCACTTTCATTTGATTAACCCCTTAGTTCCCGGCCGAAAAGTCAGGGGTCTTATGTTGACATAATTTAATATAGGAATTTGTATGGCCCCGAATTTCGTCCAGCTACACCGACGGACAGAATGCAACTGCCATTAAAATTCAACGTAAAACGGGCGCAGGTCATAGCTGCCACTTGCAAATCTACCAAATAAGCCAATCAAAACAGTTAAAACGCCACATTGTACAGCTGAACTGCAGTGGTTATTCTGCACCAGTCACTTGGTAAAATGGAGGCGGTACGTGTAGCTGAAACCACCTCGGAGTTCGAGTCCGAACGCCGGTCGGAGCCCCCACCTGAGCCTCCGTCACCACCAGAAATCGTGGCGATTGCAGACCTACTTGACGAGGTATACGCGGAGCCTAAACAGCGTCGGATGCATTATACAATGAAGAAGAAACGACATGCTCTTATAGCAACACAGGGTTTAAGTCAGCGCGAGGCTGCCACGTCTCAAAAAATCCCTCGATGGACTTTAACGTCATGGAGGAAGAGCGAAGAAGATATCTTTGCGTTTAAAGGCAGCGAGAAAACCCTGTCGCGGGCACCAGGTCGCCGCGAGATAATACCGTTTAGCGCTATGCTCGTCACCTTTATGAAGGAGACACGACGCGAATCCCTGCCGCTTACTGCATCTCTAATGGCCGCGTACATTCGAGAGGAGCAATCAGAGTGGCTGGAGGACTACTTGAAGGGCAAGAAGGGCGAATATACTGCGTATCAGTCTCTACAAAGGTTGCTACGACGTTTTGCCTATCGGCATGGCTTCGTGCAGCGCACACCGCACGGTTTAAAGGTAGTGCTTTGACTTATAAATTGTATGGAACTGATCTAATTTGATCATTTTGATATTTTATTTATAGGAAAAACTGGAAGACTTGGTAGAAGTACAGGACAGTTTCGCTAAACTTTTTAAGTCTAAGTACAATAGCTATGCTGCAAGCGAAGTTTTTAACTGTGACGAAACTGGGATTTACTTCGACGCACCGCCGGGCAAGATACTATCCGAGAGAGGTCAGTCTTCAGCTATTACAGCTCAACAGAAGCATTCCGCTCGATTGACGGCTGTATGCACTATCCGCGCGGATGGCGTGAAGCTTCCACTGCTCTTCATTTTGCGTGGAGAGCAAAACGGCATTATCGAGAGAGAAGAGCTGCCTACATACCCCGACGGTACATATTTATTCTATCTTATTATTTATGTTTGTTATTTACTATCTGACGGGGGTTACGGTATTGGTTTTTAGGACATATGTATACTGTTCAGACTAAAGCGTGGATGGATGCCCGCGTATGGAAGTTTTACCTACGCTCACTACTGCAGCAGCACGTTACACGCTCTTCTCTACTACTCGTAGATAACTTAGAGTGCCATGTCTCGGGGGAGTCCAAGGCAATCGTGTCAGACGAGCTTATGTCTGTGCTCCAGCCACTACCTAAGAATGCAACCTCGGTTTGCCAGCCCTTAGATGTTGGTATCATGGGGCCTTTGAAAGCAAAGCTCAAGGCTCTGTGGTTGTTCGAGAATGCTACAGCAAAGACTGCTAAGGAAAAACGCCTAGCTACGATAAAGCGTGCCATAACAGCTTGGGAATCCATTGAGACAGCCACCGTCACGAGTGCCTTTAACAAAGCACTTAAAAGCAACTTTTAGTGCTAAATACAACTGCCTCCCTAACTTTGCCAAAAACTCTTGGTAATTCGTTACTGTAAAAAAAGTGCTGTGGTCATCTGACCGCTTTTGTACCAGTGGGAAAGTGGCAGTTGCATTCTGTCCGTCGGTGTATGCAAATGGATAGTGCAGGGTTGCTAATGGATAAAAACGAGCACATCCAACATATTCCTGTTTCATGTTGGATTTTCTCAGTAGTACTGCTGCATAAGATGACTGATGCAACATTGTAAATGGCCTGTTTATTGAGATCATTGTCTGTGTAACATTGCACACGTCAAGTAAAGAAGAAATAGCCAATAGAAGCAAATCAATGTAACCACTATTCATTTGATTGCACACGCAAACGGCGCACACTACGATTGCTCCCCCTCTGCAGCAGCGTCTTTGTTCGGGGCCTGGTCATCGGCATCGCCGGATGCGTCAGCGTCGGACCCACCCGCTGCTACTTCACTCGCGCACGCCTCACTGCCGCTCGCATCACGTCGGCGGTGTCGCTTCTTGCCTGGACGCTCCGCTGGCGCTCGGTCGCGTATCTTGTGGTCGCGTAGCAAGCGGCTCGGGATGTCATTCCCGTTCTTCCAGTCGAGGTGCCATATCTGAAAGCACGTGCGCTCCCTTTCCTCCCTAACAACGTTGCAGAGATACTTCCTGCGGCACAACCTACAGTCAGCGCTATCACCGTGTTAGTATCAAGCATGAACAGCATGTACGTACCTCTTTGGCCCTGCAGAGCATTCTGGACAGTAATACTTCGTATACTTCCGCGGCACCACCTTGTAGATAGCACACACTTTGCAGGTTCTGTGGCGACGCTTCTTTCCGGTTTCAGTGTCGGCCTTGTCTGGGTTCTCCGCCAGTTCGTGGCCATCATCAATGCGGTCTGAGCCACGTCGCTGCTCCTCCCGTCTTGGCGACGCTCCTCGTGCAGGTGAAGCGGCTGTACGCTCCTCAGCGGAGGTGGATTTCTAGAATAGGAAACATAACCAACATAACACATATTAGTAAAGGAATTTATGTTGCCAAACCCATCATAGCAACTTACCTCAATCTCAGCGAAAGAGTTTTCATCAACAGCAAGTAGTTGTTCCATGAGTGTCTCGAAGAATGCGGAATGCTTCGGGGATCTGTGCCCATTGGCACGCTGGTTGTGTCGATACACAATAAAGGCGTTCACCAACGCCATGTCCAGCAATCCGAGAAACAAGGTCTTGTAGTACTTTCGTGATTTGTACGAAAGCTGCACGCTGTAGCGTTGCATCCGGAGCTGGTCGTGCACATCAACACCTCCCATGTATCGGTGATAGTCACGAACCAGATCCGGTGCCGGTAGCTCTTTCATCTGGCCTTTGATACGCCGCACTACAATAAAAAAGCACAATAGTGAGCAATGATACATATATATATAAACACACAGGCTTACTTACTGACACTGACTGTTTCTCTGCTGCCACCACTGCTCAGCATGTGGACGGGATTGCGGTCCATCCACATTGCTGCGGTTATCTGCGGAAAAAGCTTATTTTCAGCCAGCTTGATTGTCCCCTGTGGTGGTACTAGCTCTCTCACACCATTCACGGTCCTGTAAGACTTGTCAGTCTTCACATCCTTCGCGTACCCTGCCATACGCGTCTGGATCGTACCCGTAATGTTCATCCGTCGCTGCAACAGCTCCAACGCCAGCTTCACCGACGTGTAAAACCGGTCTGTGATTACCAAACGCCACGGGGAGGTCGGTGATGGCGGGCACAGCGCGTTCACTTTCCTTAGTACGGCAGCCTCGCCGCAATTATTATCAGCAGGAATCGGAGTCCGGAGATTACTCTTAGCACCACAGTACACCTCGAATCTGAACAGTCGCACAAACGCACACGATATTAGTAAAAGTAATAAATATGTTGGATTAGGAAATTCTCCACAATGTGGATGTTTGCCCGTCCAACATAAGCACTTAGACCAAAAAAAAGGTGGCAAGCATTAGCTTGCCACCTTGAACGCACCTCATGCAATAAGCTGTATCTGCACACGCTGCCACGAACACCTTGGTCCCCCACTTGTGCGGTTTGTCCTTGTTGAACTGTCTGGTAGGATTGTAGCGGGATCTTGAAGGCAGCGTAGCTTCGTCAAAGCTAATGACAGGAGGAATCTTGTAGCCGCGCGCAAATGTACGCTGTAAAACCTCGATAACCGGCCGAATCTTCCATACACGATCCGTGCTAGCTTGAGGCGACTTGTTGTTGGAGAAGTGCAAGTATCCCATTATGTGGAAGAACCGGATGCGGGACATGTACTTGCCGAAGTGTGGCGTTGGCAACGCACCAGCCGGTGTCAACTCCCAGTGAGCAGCAATCCCCTTTCGCACTGGAGACAGCATCCTTGCAATGAGAAGCGCGATGACGCGCAAAACCTCCCACGGTTCTATCGGCTTCACACGTGCTAGTCGCCGACGAATATCTGCGAGGTTCTCTACTTCTCCACCACCACGACGCTGCTTCGCTTGAATCGCCTGCGCACGACCCGGTATCGACTGCGTGTGGTAGCGATTGCTCTCGACGGCAATCTGTCTCCACAATTTTGGCGGTAGGTAGTAGAAGAACAGCGCCAGTGGGTCTTCAGCCACTCCAAGGACGCTCTCAGATGGTCCATAAGGCCCGTCGTAAAGGTCTTCATACGTAGGATTGTCTCCAAATATGGACTGGTCTACAAATAGCACATCAAAGTGAGTTAGATAATGTTAACTTTATGTTAGACAACGACGGAATAATAGTTGCGTATGTTGGATAGCGTTCAGCATAACTTACCATACTCCCAGCCAGAATGTTTCATCTCCGCCAAACGCGCCGCATTCATCGCCACCGACTTGCAGAACGTGTCCGGTAGTTCAGTTCCAACGCAATCGGCTAACTCCTCATCAGAGAGTTCTCCAAGCTCCCAATCTCCTTCCCACTCACTGTCCGCGTCGTCATCGTCTGAATCAGGACCAGATTCCTCTTCTGATCCGAGGCCAGTGCACTCACGTGCACCAGCCGCCATGATGTTAGGATCACCGTCGACTACACAGGCGACAGGGAGATGCGGGGCAGCTGACGCAGCACCGGTGTCTGTGGTGTCACTTATGGTGCCTTCAGCTTGAGCTTCGCGTTCTGGACTGTCTTGTAGGACGCGGCGGCGTCGTTTCGGGGATCTTTGCGTAACCGGCGCCTGCTTGTTCGTCCGAGGGGGGCGCAAGGTCTCCACAGCGCCTTGAGCATCTCGCACAGGCGTTAGAAGCGCACTTGAAGCCACAGTTGAAGCCACAGCCATCACCACGTCTGCTACAACTTCCTCCACCTCTGGTTCCACAGAATCTTCCTCATTTTCTGCAACAGGTATTACCTCTTTAGCTTCGTCCTTACTCGCTGTTGCTTCTGTCTCTTTGGATGCTGCCGGCTCAATATGTGGACCTCTAGACTCTGCTATCTCCATGGCTGTCGTCGTAAGTTTCACCGCCCTCTTCCTAGACTGCTTCTTCAACGCACGCCCCTCAGCGCCATGCTTTGGCTCTGCTGCTGACTGCCTCTCGTCGTCTCGACGAAGGCGACGCTTGTGGCGGTCACTGAGGGCTGCCTTGCACAACCGGGTCTCTTCCGCTGTCAGCGTCCGTCGTGGCATCTTGCCAGACGTCGCCACCATTCTGGTCTGCTGCCCCCGCGGTCGTTTTGAAGTATGAGAGAGTTTTGTGACTGTCGGCCACCCGTTGGTGGTGGGTGACACCGCCTCTCTTTATCTCGTTCAATCAGGAATCCGGTCCAGCTACCCTAAGCCTGTGCATCCGGCCGTTTTAGGCTCCCACTTTTGTCTTGACTTCAGTATTGAGCTTTCCTGCGCTCTCTTGAGATCTGTTCAATACAAACTCCAAGTCAGTTTTTCTCTTATGTTTAGCCGCTAAACATAACATAGATGCCGAAAAAAACTGAAAGAAGCTATACACCTCTTATGTTTAGCGGCTAAACATACGGGAACTAAGGGGTTAAGTGGCTACAAAATGCGACTTGTGACGGGGCTACAAAAGCTGTCTGACACAGCACCTTGCAGTCGACTTCCGAGAGCTCAGTGAGCAGAAGTCCTTTTGTCGAAGGGAGCGAAGTGACCAATTTAAGGTAGATGGCAAGCTGAATGTATTTAGAGCCTGTTCACTACGTAGATGGAGATGGAGATGGATTTACGATCAGTTTTTTTTTATACTTGATTGGCCGAAATTTTGAACTTACAACCACACAACTGGAGAGTTTCACCCTGCGTCCTTCTCCACCTCTGTGAGGTCGAGACGGCTGGAGACGACTAAATACCGTTTTCAAAGTGTTTCTGTGCAATGGATGATGAAGAAACTATTATAGTTGCTACGTGTGCTGCTGTCGCGCAGACGGCTACTTTGCTCGCCTCCACTTGTGAGCGTGCGCCACCAGGACCCAAGAAACAAATTCTCACTGTGACCGACTTGGACTTCGAGCCTATGCTTTTGTCATGGAGCTACGACAGTTGGTTTAAAACAAACCTTCGATGTTCCAAGAAAACCTTTTTACGCGTCGCCAACTTCCTACAATGTCAGGGGGTTCGATTCGCTGCGGCGAAATCGAAGCAGCACTCCTATAACAAAAAGGTCTCTGCTGCGCTTTACCTCATGGGTTCGACCGGAGGATACAGGGAGGATGGAGGTGCAATGGGTATGTCTAGGAGCTACGCTTCAGAAATTACTGCAGAAGTTGTTCGAGTTCTAAGGGCTGCAGCTCCCCAAATTGTGGCATTTCCACGGGACCAAGGCGGTTGGGATGCAATCGAGTCAGAATTTGCGGCGCGACATGGGTATCCTGGTGTCGTAGGTGCAACTGATGGATCTCTAATTGAAGTCGAGCGTCCCTACGAGTTTGATGGTTTTTATTGCCGCAAGTGCTACCCGGCGTTGAATGTGCAAGCGATCGTCACCAGTGATAATGTTTTCTTGAGTGCTGAAGTTCGTCCTGGCTCCTGGTCGGATCGAAAGTGCTGGCAGTATAGCAAAATTGGTCGAACGGTATTCAGTACGATACCACCAGGAACTCATTTTATTGGTGACGCTGGATATGTGGTGTAGTAGAACACACAAATATCGTCAGATGTGGATTCCTTACACAAACCACAACGAATCGCCGAGATAGGTCGGCGGTTTGTATGGCCTGCGCAGAGGGTGGTCCCCTCGCGGTCCGGCCCTTCCGGGACAGACGAGTGGCTCGCTTCCACCCGGTTCCGACTAACCAAGTCAGATCACTTCCGAGGCTCCGCCGAGTTTGGTTCGGCTGAGCTCGTTCACAACCCTGTGCCCTCCACCAAAGGATGGACGACGGCGCGCGAGCGCTTTTACAGGTCACCGAGCGCAGAGGCAGCTCAGCTAGAAGTGTTACGGCACCCGGGCTATCCGACGTACCGGCCCGCTGAGTATGCGGGACTTTCTTTCGCGCGTAGCGAGACTTTGTCCTACCCGGATCGACCTAATCTCTTGGCGCTACCAGTCAATACCCTACAAGCTATGCCTCTCGAGTATTGACGGCAGGCATAATCCAGCCCTATGCAGGGACTTACCGGAAAAGTGTACACGTGTCTTGGACTAGGAAAATTCTGCTCTGTTATCTTCTGGGAGCCCTTTCGGCTCCCCCTATTTAATCCTATGCTTCTCATACAAATATCTAATAAAATGTAGTCGTTTCGGATCTCTACCGACCCTTCAGCTGAGTTCCGGCGACCGTTGAGCTCAGCGGCTGTCCGGATAGCATATCCGGACAGATCGCCGAGTACTTACCGTGATCCTTGGCTCCTAAGCTCTGGGTTATCAGACCGAGCCGATTCTTGACCTAAAGTAGGTCGGCGTATGGTCGAATCTGGAAATCCCTACACCACAACTGCCCCGGTTATGATACGAGCCGAGCTGGTGAGTGTCTTAATCCTTCATTTTGTTCTGCCACCGTTGGTCCGTACTCGGCTGATGACGTCTCGCGGCTCCCCACCACCTTCTTTGGTACGTTCGTTGCTTCCGCTGTCACTCACTTGGCAGCTCCTTACTCTTCGCATGTTGTTCCAGCACAGCCCGTGGCACCATCCTTCTTCTCCAACTCCTCGTCGAGGTGAAGGCGTGCCAGCTGAGTCGATTCCTCGACCCGTCGGTACTCGTGGGGTCAGCGACCGGCATGAAGCTGGGCTGGTTGACCTGACAACTTCCCATGAGTCTGACGCGGAGTCGGCAGAGTCTTCTCGCGTGCGCCTTCCTGGTCCACCGAGCTTGCCGGGCGACACCACTTCGGGCGCCACCAATCAGCCAAGCTCGGCTGCTCCAGTGAGTCTTGACTCCCTTATGGCCAGAATTAACGAGCAAGGGCATGATCGCCGAGAAGAATTGACCTTCTTGGCGAGGCTCATGGCTTACGGAATTACTCGTTCCGTGGAGCCCTCCGATCCCGTGCAGCGGCGAGCGATTTTGCATGCTGCTTCCGCGGGGGAACTGTTGAATATCTTGAAAGGCAACTACGCCGCTCTTGATTATCCAAAGATCATCGGCGATCTCCAAGCTGACAATCAAGCTGCTCAGGAGGATAACCGCGCACTGACTCGGCGACTGGACTCGCTTGCTCTCAGCAATGTCGACTTGTCAACTCAGCTCTCGTCGGCTCAACAGCAAGTGTCTCGATTGGAGGCTGCTGCCACGCAATCGGCTAATCTCCTCGCGTCACTGCGAAAGGCTGTAGCTCTGAGTGAGGCAAAACTTGCTCGGGCCATCGCAGCTGAGCAGAGCAAGGTTGACGCCGCGTTGGGTCAGGCCCAGCTCCACCATCAGCAAGTCTTGGATCGGGACGCCGAGATCGACGTTCTTCTCCGACCCATTTCTGAGAGGGATGCGGCGTTCATCACTCTTCAGGGCATTGCTTCCAAGCACTTCGAACAGCTGCAGAAGTCGGTGCGGTTGTACAGTTCCACCGGTACTCAACCCTTGCGGCACGCTCAGTCGGTGATCGCTGAGCAGCGGGCTGTGATCTTGCGACAGAAGCGGCTCATCCGTCGAAATGGTATTATTCCGATGCACGATCCTTACATGGCTGCTGCTGCTGGCGGTGGCTTGCAAGTTCCTGGGCTTGATCCGTCCGACCTTCTCCTCAACGCCCGGCTGTGTCGTGTCTTGGAGTCTCGCTTTCCTGAGGTTCTCAACATCCCCGCTGGCGGCGGTTGGAGTTGATTGTCCATCCTCGCCGAGATGCTCCAGTGGCGAGTTCCATTATTGGTCCTAGTGTGGTTCCCTCAGCTAGTCAAGCGTCTTCGGCGACTTCATTGGCAGACTCGGCTGCGGCTCCAGTCAGCTCAGCGGCGGTAACAACCCAGGCTGAGCCGACTCTTGCTCAGCTTCACCGTACGCATTTGGCAAACTTGACCTCGACTCAGCGGCTTCGGCGCTATGCCAACCCCAAGTCTCCCACTGCTGCAGGTTCTCGTCATCGTGCACCGGCGCCGCATCCGCCTCAACCGTACGCTTGTCCACTCCCCGGAGAGGATGGACACGAGGCTATCAGTACCCTTTTGCACTCAAGTTCACCTCAAGCTACTGTATCCGATGGAGGAAGGCCTCGCTCTGGAAAGTCCCGTCGTCGGACTCGGCGGAAGAAGGTTCGTCACCTTCAGCTGAGTTCTGCTACTCAGCCCGCTGTCTCTGCTCGCTCCGAAGACGACGATGACGCTTCGAGCGAAGCTGAGTTTGAGTTTGAGTTGCCTGAGCCGCCCGCCGACACCGTTCCTGTAGTTGCTTCGACGACTTCGGCGGGTTCTTCGTCTTCTGGTCCTCCGGTGACTTCGTCAGTCGCGGCAATTCGCCCACCGCCGATATCTTCATCCGATGTCGTGGCTTCACTGCCTGTCCCGGCTACGAGCGTGTGTGCCCCAGGCTCGACTTCGCCCATCTCCGCTGGGTTGCCCCAGTCGAGCGCACCACTCAGCGTCGTGCTAACGGTGGTTGGACGCTCCCAGTCGCCCTCTCGGGGTCTGAGCGTATCCACCACGCCGACTGACTTAGTGACTCCGGCCGTGAGTGTCCTCAGACCGTCTCTCCCTGTGACTACGGCCGTGTTGACGTCCCCATCTGGGCGCCCTATCCGGAGATCTGCTGCGACCGCCCGCACTGTGACTGCTCAGCTGCTTGAGGATCTCGACGCGTCTGACGACGAGGTGTTAGGGCCTGGTGATGGTTCTGTACCGTCCACCAGCTCGACGAATCCTGCCGCTGGGTCGCTCTTGGATCCCATTTCCTTGTCAGAGAACTCGGCTGGCAGTCCTTCAGGTTCCGACTCAGCGACCGCAGATGCTCGTCGTTCTGTCCAAGCGAGAAGTCTTCATGCGGCGATCTTCGGTTCTGACGACGAGATGAACGATGAGTCCTTGCCGCCGAGTGATCGCCACTCCTCGCGGCCTTCATCGAAGGATTCTGGTGACGGGACGAGTTCTGCCTCTGCGCCGGCTTCAGGGAAGCAGCAGCATCGCAAACGTCGTGCCTCGTCGAGTCCTACCGGTCATCGGTCGAAGCGATCCAAGGAGCACAAGAAGCACAAGAAGCATCACAAGACGCACCGACACCACAAGCATCGGCAGCTTCCGTCGACTCCTGATCCAGCTCCGGCTCAGTCCATTCCGGCTGCTCCTTCGCCGAGTAGGCTCCCGGTTATATCGATTCTCTCTCAGCCGAGTTCGACTGCTTCACGTCCGGCTGTGGTCGCACTTCCCAGCGCTCTTACACTCCCGCTGGCGACGTTACGGACTCGGGCCTCGCAAGCGGTGTCCAAGGATTGTCGCCTGACTCTTCACATGGCTCAACTCCGCGAGGTACCATTCATGCATTTCGGCTCAGCTCGTTGTTGGAATGCATTATTGGATACACTGAGCGGAGGGGTGCAGATGGAGCTCGTAGGGGGCAAGAGTCGTGTTCCACCTACGCCGTGTTCTCTTGACGGCATTCGAGCTTTCATGGCCGTTTTCGACCCGAGCCATCCTTGTCAGCGTCTTCGCCGGATGCTCCCTGAGCTTCCTTTCTTCTTTTCTCCGTCGATACTGGAGGAAGCTCGGCGATGTTTGGCTTCTCAAACCCGGCCTCGAACTTTGATGCAAGTTCTTGGAGATTTGTGGGTGAAGCTTCGTGGCGACAGTCCCTTGGACTCGGCGGGGAGGCCCATCCAGCCAGATGGCCAAATGACTCGTTACTTCGTAGCTCTCTATGAGCGTCGTCATTGGATTGTCGAGTCGAGTGTGTTAATGGGTCTCCATCCTGACGTCAACCCGGCTGCCACGCCCGCCCAGCTTGCTGAGGTATACGAACTGTGGCTGGTGTACAAGCGCGAGCGCAAACGTCGTAGTGACACCTTGCGATCTTTAGTTGTTGCTGTCTACGACCAGCTTTACTCGGCGGTCACTCAGAAGCTCGGCGATGAACCTGCTCCACTGGTGGACGCAGAAGTTTATTTTGATCCGTCCGTTCCCCATTACTCTCCCGTTAACCTTTCGTGGGTTCCTTCCGGGAGAGACTGGGTCCAGTGTGCTCACGATGTGGATCTAGCCAAGCCCTGGCAAGATTGGTGGCTTACTGACCCGGCGGTCCATCCGTACAATACTTGCTTCCGCGCTCGGAACGTGGACTTCTTGGTTTTCGCTCCGCGCGGTATGGATCCTCAGGTTGTTGACAGCGCGATTGAAGAACCGATCTTGCTGAACAAGCGCCTCCAGCCTATGCCCCGGGTGCTCCAACTCGGCTGAATCGTCAAGGCATCCATATCTTCACTGGGTCTTCGGTCGGTGAGCTCGGCTCAGATGGCGAGAGTGCGTCTGATGACGACTCGGCGGACGATGGGTTGGGTTCTCCCAATCTCCGAGGCGCGTCTCCGAGTATGTCTCCGTTCGGCACCCCACTCCCCAGTGGAACGGATCCTCAGCCCACTTCCGCCGCGTCGGGTCCTGAGGCACCTGGTTCGGCGTCAGCTTCGTTGGCTAGCTCGGCGATGATACTTCTTGCCACGGCTGCGAATGTTGCATCTCCTTCCGCAAGTTCCCAAGGG